AAAATAATATTTACAATTCTAATTCCATATAACAATCTATGTCCTAAAGAAAATCCTCTGCCCCGATGTCACAATATCAGAGCATAACCACAACTCAACCGTTAGCAGAGCATTTCTTTTGTCTCAATCAATTCCACACGTAATTCTTATTTTTCGCAACGCGAATTATCTTAACACCACTCACTCCCTAGTTTTCATTAATACTATTACACTTGCTCTGTTTATAATGATAGTAAGTTTAACATTTGAAAAGTGTTTTTTTTTAAATGAATAAGCTTCTCACTTTTTAATTTAATTTTAATTGTTTTTTATAAATTATTTAATTATCACAATTAAAAATAGTGTATTGATTGAGAAGTTTTAATTTGTGTGTAAAATTTTTAAATGATAGTCATTGTGAAACAAAAAAGGTAAACATTAACGATAAAAAGACACTCAAACTTGTGGAAATTAAAAATGCTCATAGAGTATACCAAAGTTTTATGTTAGAACTTTGTCATCATTGTAATTTATGAATAAAAAGAACATATTGGATAAATAGTAATTTTGTTTAAATTAATTAAATAAAATTATCCTACACTAAAAGAAAAAATGTATAGTTATCACGATAAATGAACAGTAAAATTGTCTTAAAATAATCTTTCAAGTTTATATATTCTTATTGATAATTTTACTCTCAACAATTGCTTTTTTTTTTAGTACAAGAACTAAAATAATCTTTCAAGTTTCCACTAATAAGGAAGTTATATATATATTTTTAGATAAAATGTCATACATAAAAATCAAAATGTGTTTTTATTTTTATTTTTTATGCAAGATAAAAGTGAAGTATAACTTTTATTCAATAAACGACAAGAACTGAATGCGAAATGATTGTCCATTCATGCACCAAAATCAAACACGTTATTGACCATGGCAATCAATATAAGGTGTTTAGCTCCATCACTCTTATGCGAGGAAGATGATGGAAGGGAGTACAAATTCAAAGGAACCTATCGATAAGGGCACAGTGTAATAGTATGAGTTTTTAGTAATAATTGTTGTTTTATTTAATTGAAGTATGTATTGTAGTGATTTGTTGTTTATTTGTTAAGAAACTCTTTAGAAAATTTTAATGAGTTTTAGTCATTTAAAAGTTTCTTTGAATAGATGTCAAGTTGGATTGGTAAGGAAATGTATATAAGATTTTTTTTAAGATTGAATTTCATAAGTTCATTTCTTAAAGAAACTTAGAAAGATAATCTAGATAGAGGAGCTTTAGAACCATAAGTGATCCTATTTCCTTCTGATTCCACGACCGATCTTTGATCCCTTTCCCAAAACTGTTGAAGTTGTAATGTTGAGATTCTAGCTTAGAGGTCTTAATTAGGAGTTTCAAAGTGTCATACAGAGCTTCCTAGAGGAGCTCATTTTCTTCTCCCTTCTTCTATGATTCTTGTGGATTTAGAGGTAAAGGGAGTTATAATTTGGTTCCTTGTTGATTGATGAAGTTAAGTGTTATTGGATTTCATTAAATTCATAACTGTATAATTGAATACTGAGGTGGAATCAGGGACAGATTCATTCACACAATTATGGGGGCAGTGGCCCCCACTAAAATTTTACAGTTTTTATTTATATATATATATATATTATATTTTAATTTATTGTAAAAAAAATTATTATGTAATAACTATAATGACATACATCTTATAAAGATATAATACTTATTATTATAAACTATTTTTTATATACTATAAATACAATATATGTTGATATATTATTAAAAGAAAGTGTAAATATAGACTAGAGTGACACTTTCTATATGTGATTATATGTAATATTTTTATGCGATGATTGTTTTTGTATCTAATATGTTAAAATATATTAATATTTCATTTATATTTTATTCTATCGTGTAATTTTTTTTACTGACTGAAAAATTTATTACTTCTTTATTCATTAAAGATGTCATAATATAAATATAAGTTATTTTTTTAATTTTTATTTTAGTTTTTAACCCTTTTAATCTTGTATATGTATATTATGTGTTAGTGGGAGAGGATCTAAATTAAAAGGAATGAGAGTAATTGTCACACAAAGTTTTTTATTTATTTTTTACTTAAACATATTTAATAAAAATAAATAAATTTACTCTTATAAAAAAAATAGGTGTTGTTCTCATAAAATATTTTTGTTTTAAATGAACGAATAAATTTAGAAGAGATACAAAAGAAAATAAATAGTAATTATATTATCTTTATCTTAATAATTTATATCATTTTATTCCTTTAAAATTAAATAAGTCATTAAAAATTACAACATCATACTTAAATATAATATCTGACAGAAAAATAAAAAGAAGAGAAATTGTCACTTTATTTATGACAATTTTAATTTGTAAAAAATAGGTATATTAAATTTTTTATCACAAAAATATACTTTTAAAAAATTTATTATATTTTAATAAAAAATATTTTATTGCCCCACTTAACAACTTTTCTAGATCCATCACTGTTATTAACGGCGATTAATTTTATAGCTTTTGGTATATGTTTGAGTCTAAGGTTTTTATGTGGAAAAAGAAACAAATATTTTTAATTTGAAAAAAATCTGTTATATATTTGTAATATTTTTTATGCTTCTATATGTTTGTAATATATAGAATTTTTTTTACAGTATAAAAGTTTTAGAATGTAAAAAATTAGAACTACTATAAGATTCGGTGAATTCAAATCCTGGTGTCGTCTCGATGAATAAAAAGAATTTGTAATATTAAAAAGCACGAAATTTTAATAGAGTAGTGTTTTATATTAATCGGGTACAATTTTAATTAAATTTGTTGGTTGTCGGTGTGGTAATAGTAACAGTGTTTGGTCAGATAAAAGTAATTTAGTTTTAAGTTTATTCTCTAAATTTTAATTAAATTTCTAAATCTCTAAAAAAATTAAATTTCTAAATTAAAAAAAACTATAATTAAATATTTTATTATTATTTTTATTTTATAATTTTGTAATTTAATTCATGAGATTATGAAGTCATTTAAACTTTGTAAAATTTTATAAAATATTTTTTATATTATATTATGACAATCACATTATATTATCATTCT